ACAAAGTTACAGTCATACAGTCACAAGTGAGAGGGAATGGGTGATAAGGAGTGATGAGAAGATTAATAGTAATAGTAGTGCAGACTGAGTAAGCAGTTGGACAGTGATGAGGGAATTATTTGTTTAGCAGAGTGATGGCGTTTGGGAAAAATCTGTCCTTGTGTCTAGTTGTTCTGGTGTGCAGTGCTCTATAGCAACGTTTTGAGGGTAGGAGTTGAAACAGTTTATGTCCAGGATGTGAGGGGTCTGTAGGTATTTTCACATCCCTCTTTTTGACTCTTGCAGGATACAGGTCCTCGACTGAAGGCAGATTGGTAGCAATTGTTTTTTCTGCAGTCCTAATTACTCTCTGAAGTCTGTGTCTGTCTTGTTGGGTTGCAGAACCAAACCAGACAGTTATAGAGGTGCAGATGACAGACTCAAAAATTTTCCTTTCTGGTCAGCAATGAGTTGAACTTTGAGCTGCAATATTGAGGGATTTTCTCAATATTTCTTCATACGAACCCTAACACATTACAAGTGTTGGCTCACAAAACCACCAGTTTGCTAATTCAGCTGGTTGAAATGAACATGCCATGCCTTGTGGTTACAAGAACATTTTGCAATTTTTTTTTATTTTTGCAAATACCAAAATCAGCCGCAGAAGGAAGGAATCGTTGAATTTCAACCCAGAGCCAGAGATTTTTTTTAAAAAAATGTGCTTGTGCAAATAGCTAGGAAGACTTTTGTGACTTTGGGGTTGCAACCTGAATTGTGAGTGAAAATTTTGCTGTTCTCAGAAGGATCCAACACCACCCTTTCCTGCGAGTCGTGTCCAAGCTGAGAACCCAATAAAACATTCCAGATGATCAGTAGAGGTTAAAAAAAAAAGTTCAATCGGAGTTTGTCAAGTTAGATTGGGTGGGGACCCTGTTGGTTTCTCTGGCAGGTTTTTAGTTGAAAAAATTTGGCCAAACATTATCAATAGAAGAGAATACAGTACATGTGCTATTAGTATGAACATTCGCCTCCTATTCAATCCTTTCTCCTTTTCAGTCTCTTAAATCAGATTATTCTTTATCTGTAAACACAATGTATATATAAATTGGCACTTTATCTTTCCTACACATATTTACTTTATTATTTATTAAATTTGTTTGCCACACATCTCGACTCTTCCTAGACGTTCCTTTCCACGGGTTTTATTTATTTCCCACCTTTATTATTTTTATAAATAACTCAAGGTCACAAACATATCTAATACTTCCTCCTCCTATTTTCCCCATAACAGCCACCCTATGTGGCTTTCATTGCTAAGGCGGGACTAGAACTCCCAGTCTCCTGGTGACTGGCTCAAAATCACCCAGCAGGCTTTTCTGCCTAAGGAGGGATTAGAACTCCCAGTCTCCTGGTGATTGGTCCAAAGTCACCCAGTTGGATTTCATGCCTAAGGCGGGACTAGAACTCCCAGTCTCCTGGTGAT